CTGACTACATCATTGGACATTTAGAGCGATGAATAAATATATCTTAGAAGTGCAGCCACCATGCTCTTTAAATTCAACAGTAGTGAATGAGCCTTTATTTCAAGTATTTGGACATGTTAAAAAGATTAAATGAAAACATTTTCCATTCCTAAGGCCTTTTTAAATGCTAGAATCTATTCATTAGTGGGAGTTTTTGAAAGGGATTTACATTAGCTTGTGGATTTTCTTTTTAAATTGTTAAAAGAATTCACACATGTTCAAAGACATTTTACCTAGGTGTCAGTAACTTCTTTCTCAAAAGTTGAGTAAACTTGAGGAATTTTTAACAATATTTAGCACTGAAGGTTTCATTGTCACAGAGCCCCAGCTAGTTAGAGTATGAACTCTGCTCTAATCCGTCTTGTCTCCCACGTAGAATGGTTGATAAAAGGCAAGACATCAATCAGAATAGAGTGTAACTATCTAGTGCTTTAGGGAGATATATGGACACCTTAGTAAGAACATGAAACTATTACGGAATAATTTGAGTTTGGATGAACATAGGTCAAAAACATAACTTCTTGAAAAATGTCATTGCCATAGACATCAGATTCTGCACTGGATGAATATCATTTCATAAAAAGTTTTGAAACTTTATTTCTTTGAAGATGAATAATGTTAAATGTGCTTTCAAAAAATGATATGCTGTTTAGGTTTACAAATACAAATTTTGTAAAACACAGAAATCATTTCAGTTGCCTAAACTTGTATGCACAATACATTTGCTTGCCCTAATTATCTTTTTCTGTAAATGGCAGCATTAACCTAATTTTTATTGTTGTTATGTGCTGTTGAGTCACCTGCAACTCATGTTGTTGTTGTTATGTGCCCTCAAGTCGCTTGTGACTCATAGTGACCCTATGTACAACAGCTCTAAACTCTTCTCTGTCCTGTGCCAATCTCATTGTCTCTAACACCCTCATCCCGATTACCCCAGTCACCAAATCTATCTATCTCCTAGAGGGCCTTCCCTTCCTGTGCCTGCCCTCCACCCTCCCAAGCATGATGTCCTTCTCTAAGGACCGGTCTTTCCTTACAAGATGACCAAAGTATGTTAGACGGAGCCTCAGAATCCTTGCCTCCAAGGAGCAGCCCGGTAGCAACATTATGTCCAGCAGCTCTGAACCCTGTCTTGTTCTGAGCCAGTCTCACTAATTACAACACACTAAACTCCATTTTCCCAGACATGGTATAAATCCATCTCATCCAGGGTATTCCTTTTCTGTGATGTTCCTCCGTCCTTCTGAGCATGATGTCCTTGTCCAAGGACCAGTATCTTCTGCCCATGTGCCCAAGATATGTAAGATGGAGCTTCAAAATCCTAGCCTCCAAGGAGAGGCTTGGTTTTACCCTCTCCAAAACAAACTTATTTGTTTTCTAGGAGGTCCATTGGATGTTCAACACTCTTCTCCAGCATCACAACTCAAAGGCATCAATTCTTCTTCTGTCATCCTTAATCATTGTCCAACTCTCTGAAGCATAACAAGTAACTGAGAAGACCATGGCCTGGATTAGGCTCACCCAAATGCAATTTGCCTTTTTATTTCTAGACTGCTGGTGCCAAGAGTGTTGATTATGGAGCCAAGCAAGCTGTGATTGATAACACCCTCAATCTTTTCTCCATCTATCATGTTGCTGCCAATTGACCCAGTGGTGAGAATTGTTGTCTTCTTGATGTTAAACTTCAATCATATTGAAGACCACAGTCTTTGATCTTCTGTAGCAAGTGCTTCATGTCCTCTTCAGTTTCAGCAAGCAAGGTTGCACCATCTCCAGAACTTAAATTGATGATTCTTCCTCCAATACTGATGTCACATTCCTCCTCATAAAGTCTTGCTTCTCAGATGATCTATTCTGCATATATATTGAAAAGGTATGCAGACAGGATGCACCCCTGACACACTCCATTCCTGATTTTGAGCCATGCAGTATTCCTGTGCTCTGTTCTGAAGACTCCTTCCTGGTCCAGGTATGGGTTTCACATAAACACAATCCACCCAGTTAAAAGGTGACATGATGGCGATGACCTGCCCATCGGGCAGCTCATAGCTCTCCGTGGCCATCTCCTGCTCTAAGTCCAGGGTGACGTAGCAGAGTTTCTCCTTGATGTCACGCACAATTTCCCGGTCAGCCGTGGTGGTGAAGCTGTAGACTCGCTCGGTGAGGATCTTCATGAGGTAGTCCGTCAGGTCCCGGCCAGCCAGGTCCAGACGCAGGATGGCAGAGGGGAGGGCGTACCCCTCATAGATGGGCACAGTGTGGGTGACCCCACTGCGGGAATCCATCACAATGCCAGTGCTTCGGCCAAAGGCATACAGGGACAGCACGGCCTGGATGGCCACGTACATGGCAGGGGTGTTGAAGGTCTCCAACGTGATCTGGGTCATCTTCTCCCGGTTAGCCTTGGGGTTCAGGGGGCCCTCCGTCAGCAGCACAGGGTGCTCTTTGGGGGCCACAAACAGCTCGTTGTAGAAGGTGTGGTGCCAGCTCTTCTCCATGTCGTCCCAGTTGGTGACAACGCCGTGCTCTATGAGGTACTTGAGGGTCAAGATGCCTCTCTTGCTCTGGGCTTCGTCCCCCACGTAGGAGTCCTTCTGGCTCATGCCCACCATCACGCTGTGGTGCCGAGGGCGCCCCACGATGGAGGGGAAGACAGCCCGGGGGGCGGCGGCATCCTCGAAGCCGGTCTCGCACATGCCAGAGCCGTTGTGGACCCCTAGCGCAGAGATGTCATCATCCGTGGTGAGCTGGGGGTGGTGGGTGTGAACCTGCGTCAGTGACTGTGTTTCTGTTGCCCCGAGGCACTCTTCCAGCCCTCCTTCCTGGGCATGGAGTCTTGTGGCATCCATGAAACTACCTTCAACTCCATCATGAAGTGTGACGTTGACATCCGCAAGGACCTCTACGCCAACACAGTGCTGTCTG